TTGAATCTACGGATTCTATTATTTAATTTGTTAAAATATTAATTCGATTAAATAATAGATATTGCCATGCATGCATCAATTATATATATTTAAAGTGTTTATGTTCAAAATTGATTGGTCTTAAGGCATAACACTTACAGTGAGCAAGGCAGCAAATTGTTGAAAATTGTGATGGGCAAGTGAAGGAGGCATGGATACCTAATTTACTTGATAACGACATCACAAGACAAAATTTGGGGAAGCAAGTTAGTCAACATTGATCGATGATTAATGCGAGCATGTGCTAGACAACATTGAGATCTTTTTGTCCGGTTGATTTCAGTCTTCGAATTCAATTAGAAAGCGAGCACAAGAAAAACACATGGCGGTTGGAAGCGGTTATTGTTTAGTGCCTGAAAGGGGGTAGATTCGGCTTAGATGGGTTGAAAATGAAAACTGACCTAGCAGTTGGCGGTGTCAGCTGCAAATACAATTTTGGCCTATAAATCTATGTGTTGGGTACTTAGAACTTGGCAGCGAGGGAGAGGTGATAAGATAACGAGGTGTGTTGGCCCTTCACAAAACTTGTAACGTGTTTTTTTCGTTTTGGTGATAAATAAAGTTGGGACGGTTCCGTAATTTTCGTGTATTACTTTATAACTTCAATTTTCTGCATGACTTAGTTGAATTCTGCTCTCAATTGAGATAAATTTTGTACTATATGGTGTACTATATATACAGTATTCTAAAATGACCACGCGTGCTTGGGGCTTTTTCGAAACGCTCGCATATGGGGTATGCACATGATAATGACCCATTTCATTAACCATATATGCACGCTTAAACGTCCAATGCGCAAGTATTTATCTTAAAAATTATGTCAATATTAGTCTAACAAAGTCCGGTCCATTTTTATAACTTGAAATAAGTAAATTGAGTCAAACAAATATCAAAATAGCCCAAATCGTCTAAACTCATGAATTACATAAAATAATCTGATGCGTTTTGACGTTTAAAAAAATAAAATAAAATTTTCGTAGAGTTGCAGCTTATCTACATCGAGCTCGAGCCTTCTCCTTCTTTGGTCTTCCTCTAGTTTTACTAGCAAGTGACGCTAATAATACATAATATTGAGTTATTGATGGTTGTGATGGGGTTGGCAATGATATCTTTGAATCTACAAAAGATGATAGAAATTCTCGAGTTGAAATAAGGGAGTTCGATGAAAATGATTTTGTATCGGACGACATGGAAGATGAAATTGAATGAAGAAAATGAGATTGAATTGGAATTGGAATTTGATAAAAAGTCAGATAAGATTTGATATTTTTTAAGTTAGCGATTGAATTGGAATTTGATAAAAAAGTTAGATATGATTTAATATTTTTTAAGTTGGCGTTCATATCTAATCTAATTGTATAAATTGATTATCAAATAATTGTAGTATTTATGATTTTAAGCAATATGTGTTTGTTTAGAATTTGAAGAATATGTATAAAATTCTAGTAATTATATCATTTATGATTTTGAGCAATTTTTTATTTTTATTTTTGTTTTTGTTTTTGAAAATTCGAAAAATACGTATAAAGTTCAAAGAATATATTTTATTGATTTATTAGTTTTGAATATTAAAAATTAAAAAAAAATGCATAATTATATGCATATGCTTCGCATAGGTACACGTATGCTTGTAACGCTTAATATTCAATCAAAACGTATTGCAACACATTACGCATTTTAGAATCTCGATATATGATAGAACTTCTCAATCTCACCATCGTTGGTATGTTTTCTTGATTTCTTCAATACTTATCTTTGATTTAAGACATTTTCAATTTGGAAGTAATCAATATCGATACATTGTTTTTTTATGTTATAGCTTTATGTTCACAAGGGCAACGAGCTTATAAATCATGTCAACATAGGTCTTGTATTTAAAGACTATTGTTCGACATAAGGCTTTTAATTTAAAAAGTGAATTTCTTTGGAACTATTTATTCAAATGTCCCCACAAAAACTATTTATAATTGAAAAAGAAAATCTTGTCATTTGGTATCTTGTTTACGTTGGAATTTGATTTAAAGATTGAAAACTTTGGTCAAGTATAAATTTGAAAAGTGATTTTGTGTCAATTTCGACCAAATATTTGGATTTGATCTGATGGTCAAATTTTAAAAATAAATAGACAACTCGAGTAGATCGTCGTAATTTATTTGGAATCTCAAAATCAATTGCGAATGAATGAGAAATCGTGGTCCAAAGTTGTTAGAAAAACAAGGAGAAAAAGAGGCAAAATCAGCTAACACTGCTACTCGAGCGATAGGCCAACGCCTAACTAGCGACAAAGCTGTCGCTCGAGTGACTAGTTAATGGTACCGTTGTCAATGATCCAAGCCGGCTCGGCCCTTTAAGCCACGAGCCGAGTCGCTCGTGGCTCGTTTGCTCGTGGGCGAGCTCGACTCGGCCTACGAGCTCACGAGCCTGCTCGTGGCTCGTCAAATTTTTTTTTTCTTTTTCATTTTTCTTATTTTTTTTTTAAATGTTTTTTTCACGAGCCCACGAGCTCGGCTGGAGGGCGGGTGCCCACGAGCGCTAGCCTCCCTAACGAGCCCGAGCAGCTCATAGGTTGCTACAGTATGAGTCGAGCGGTCGAGCCGACGAATCGCTCGGCTCGATTGCCACCACTAAGTAATGCTTCACATAAAAATGCCCTACTTCAAATTTTTTAAGACTAACTTGGAAGGTAAAACCCAACGTTTGCAAAGTTGAACACACGAGGATCACGTGATGATTAACATAAATGTGGACATTTTATTGCAAGAGACAGATTGTGCAATGATGGGGACTGGCTCATACTCAAAACAATATTTTTAGGATTAGTAGTGAAATTTCTCCTTTGGATATTGACTGAATGATTAGAAAGATTGAATTACCAAAACGTTATCGAATCATGTCTTGACATGTTCAATATGCGTACAAATTAGGTTGACAAATTTAGATGACAAACTATGTATTAGCAACATCTAAAGCAATCATTTCAAAAACAGTTTTTGAAATCAATGGTCTAGATCTTGTAAACACTTAGTTGTAAACAAACTTTGTTCAATTTGTACAACTACGTTAATTGTGTTTGATATATTAAATTTCATATAATTGAATCCGAATTACGTACACATTTTACTAGCTTTTCTTTTCAATCTATCTAGTTTTGTTCTGTACAAAATTAAAACACGATGGTTAGTATTCGTGACAAAAATAGAAAAATCATTGTTATCGAGACAATAATAACTATTAATTCAAAAAAAAAAAAAAATCCATGAACATAACAACTTAGTAAGTCTAGTACAAAGTGTGCAAAACATGATAATGGAAAAAAATATTAATACGATACAACAATAACATTAGGTTCCAGAAAAAAAAAAAAAAAAGATAAGAACAGCATGAAAATGTTTCAAGTTATTTACATAACATATGCTTACCAGTCACCATTAGAGTAACTTTATATCAAGCTAAATTATACTCCTCAATAAACAGAAATAAACCGGGCTTGTTGCTATTGATTCGATGATCCATGCAACATCTTGGGAAGTACCAGCTAGCTCTAAGTCCGAGTGGCTCTGCTAGAAAAAAGCCCGACTGCCATAAAAAACCCTGGAATTGTCCTTTTTCTTCTTTTCAATTTTTGTATTCTTGTTAAGGTTCTGAATAATATCACCTTGATTGTCAGTTTCAGGTTTATCTAAAGCCATTGGGAGCTTCATTTTGGCCAAAGATTCAGTAAATTGTTGCATACTTCTCATGTACATATCAACTATCTGCTGCTGCATTGCTGATTCTTCTGCCTGAAGATCAGTACTTCTTGAATGAGCTGAAACTAAATTAGTCTCATTCTCTTCCTTTTTTTCACTTTCGTTCTTTGATGTTGGAGTTTCAGGGCAAGAACCGAACCTGGGATTGGCTTCTGCTGTCATAATCGAAGCAACATTAGGGGAATTTAAGGTATCGGCAAATGTGTAATTCTTTTTATCCATGGAATCAGCAGAGTTTCGATCATCGCTCAAACTTGTCATCGTAGAGCTAAGAAAACCTGAATTCTGAATGCTTCCATCTGGAGAAACTGAATCTGCCCGGTACTCCTCAGAAGAATCAGCAGTCATTTCATAGTCATCGACTGGGGGATTTGGGGCAGACCCGAGTTGAAGAAATGAACCATCAGGCTTTTCGGGCCATGGCTTCAGAAGGGTTCCAGGTTTTGCCAAGAAAAAATATTCTGAAACCATTTGCTGGTTTTCGTTAACTACATTAATATCAGGAAAGTCTATACTGAAATACTCTTCTGGGATCTTTTTATCCACCAAAAGATCAGAAATTTTAGACGAATCAGATAAAGAATTTACACAGGGATTGGGAGGAGCATTTTGATTTGCACTCAAAGAAAGGGATAATTTGATAGTACCAGCTGGGGAGTGAAACAAATCAGTAGAAGACAGGCTAAAATCTTTAGTCACCTTTCCTTGTCCAATAACCAAAGAAATCGGCAATAAGGTGAATCCAAGAAGCTGATCATCCATGAAATTCTTAGCCCGGCTAAGCATCCAGATTTCGCATTTGAGAACAGCGTCGATCTGGTTGATTTTCATGATCAAATCCTCATTGAATTCAGGATTCTTCCCTCCACCGTTGACGATCCTTGTTGACAGAGTCTCGTCCGGATTATAGGTGAGAGAGAATTTCGCATAAACATCTTGGTTGTCATAGATACATATGTTATGAATGTTCCTAGCATGATGAACATGGATTTCAAGAATCCCTGAAAAATCTGCATCCCTATCTGGATTTGCAGTTGGGTTGTAGATGAATCCAGGAACTTTATCAAAAGAATCCATGTTCATAAATAAAAAGTCAGAAATTCTATTGTTTGATGATTCAGAATTGTTGAATATGAGAATCTTGACTCTATGTGACAATGGAAAGAGATATCCAATAAATCAAGAAATAGAAGCAAACAAAATGAACGAAATCAATGTACTTGAGGTAAATAGATCTGAATCCATATTTTTTTTCTTGAATTGGGCTTTAGTGAGTTCTAATATGCAACATCAAGCAGTTCCACTTTCTCGTCCCTATCTTGCCCCAAGAGATGCACTGTTAGAACAAGAAGCAGATCTAGATTCTAAGAAGTCCCTCTAAAGACCAATATCATGCACACAACCTGAAAGGAAAACACCGGATTAGGATTAGCATACACGTGTTATGTGCCTGCGCGTGTGGGTGTGCGTGTGCATGAGAGAGAGAGAGAGAGAGTGAGACTTACATTGAAAGCTTAGGTTCATTCAACAAATGCAAGTTGATAAGTAGGAGGTTAGCAGTAGGTGAAAAGAATGGAAAATAGAATCAAAAGGGTGGATGATGATGTTAGTTGGTACAGATAGTGATTTTTCCTTCCTCGACAATTCAACTTCTTCCACTTCTAGTGATAAAAACTTGCTCCACTTTGGGTGGGGAGACCCCACCAGTACCCATCTTCATCATCAACCTCTCCTCCATGCTTTCCATAATTTCAAGACCATAATTTTTTTGTCCACTATCTTTTTGGACATCTTTTTGAACATTGATTGTTCAAATGAAAAAAACCTCGACATTTCTCACGTCAAGACAATTGAGCTTTGACTGCATGTATCATTAGTATTAGCCAGTAAAATGTTGTCCCGCAACGTATAACTTACCTTAATAACATGTCCTCGAGAGTCAGTCATCTTTTGAAAAGACAAGGCAAACAAAATCCATGTTATATCCAAATGACAAAATCCAAATTGAGAAACATATTCTTTGATTATCAGGGCATGTTTGATATAGACACTATACTAAATAAGATTAGACAGTACAACGTACAAGATTTTAGTTTGCCACGTACTACTAGATCCAACCAACCAAACGTGCCTCAATTCTTTCATTTTTGGGGTGGAATGAAGATCCAGCTAGCGTAAGACTAATCCAAATGTTTTAGCATCAACATTCAATCCAAGTTTAGAAGACTAATGAATCTGCCAATCTTACAACGAAAAAAAGTAGAGGAGTCTAAATAAGAAATAATTTAAACAATTAATGTACAGTACTTGAGAAATTTATTCTTGGTTGGTACAGCAGAGGCAATATACAAGATACAGCCCCTTTTTGTAAGTGAACCTATGCATCTACAATCCTCATGTCAGAAAAGAAAAGGAAATACTTTAATAAGTGCCTGGTTCCAGGCTCTGAGATGCTTGTTCATTCCGCCAGACTTGTGACCTAACCTCATCAAATGTCGTTCATGCTTTGCTGCAGCAGCTTCCCGTTTCAACGCCCTTTTTGCATGTCTGCCAACCATTTCTTTAGCAGTCTCTTTCTTTTTAGGCCGACGAGAAGAACCAGCACCTGTATCCTGGGAGTTCGGCCTATGCATTGATCTTGCTTCTTGCCGACCACCCCGAACATATCCATTATCTCCCCAAATCCGGTTACCTATGCGGAGACCTGAGGAACTGCCATAGTATACATCATCTAGATCTTCTTCTTCTTCATCTCCATCCTCGTCCTCGTAATAATAATAATCTTCCACTTCCACTTCTACTTCCACAACCACATCCACATCCACATCCACATCCACCTCCACCTCCAGATCCACCAGAGTCATAAACCATGAGTCTCCCAGAAGAAGACACACACTCTCCTCAATCATATCATTATGAACGCCGCTCAAATTCTAACGGTTATGTAAGATGAAGATTAAAAGAAACATGAAAGGCACAATATTCAAGCTCTTACATTCCGCATTCCAAAAAAGACCTTCCCTCTTCCAAGCAATCTCATAATTTTCTTTTAACAAAATTATTAATACTAATCCCAAAACACTTGCTATTTTTCATCTATGCTTTGATTATAATACGTCAGAACAATATTCGTCAATATTTTACAAATTCAACTATTCATCATCTGTCATTAGACATCCCCTGAAATATCGCAACCATTAAAATATGTATAAAGCCTTTTCCAATTGATTAGTCGCTTTTTTCCTCGTTTATCTTAGATACTTGTTACATATCAGTTTTATCGGACATCAATTGCATTACATCCAATTATAAACTGTAAATTATGGTATGAGAGGATCGCATAACCATGCTTAATGCGTGTGCTCCGAAAAAAAGGATCATAGTACAAATCAATTGGGATGGTTCTAGCTTGAATCTGTCTCTAAAAATGCATGCTAGAAATTGGACGTTAATTGATTTGAGAGTTTCGCTCTTCAGTTTGAAGTCCAGTGAAAATTAATGTTCATATCACCTCATGATCTAGATTTGCAAATTTAAGTAAGTCCATCACACATGACCTCACTTTTATCCTTATATAACTCTACATGTTACCATCTTTTTTTTTGTTCGACAATAAGCGCCTATTTTGACTTTTGATAAGTCAAAATTAGCTTTCGAGATTAAGAAGTTGCTTGGATCTGTTGAGATAATTTTCTAAAAGTACTTTATCTAGTTAGCAAAAATTCTGGAGGACTTGTCTCAAAGATGACTTCCTCATGAAGCTATTCTACAAAAAATAGAAATCCGATCAAGTTACTTTTTACTTAAGCCAGATTGACTATCTAGGCCCTTATTTGAGCCTTATTTCAATAAGAAAATGTATTTTGGAATAGTAATTTTTTTGAAAATGTGTGGTTAAAAACGAACAAATTTTTTTTATTTACGTACATAATTATTTTAATGGAAAATGTGATTGAAAATGAGTTCTTGAAAAAACGAGGGCCAAAAATAGGCTTGATAGCATGATCTTAAGTCATAACCATCAAGTAAGGCTATAAGCTTAGCATGATCTTAAGTCATAACCATTAACTTACTTAAATTTGTGAATGTGAATCCTTACTTGATAAGAACAATCAAGGTAAACGTTAAAATCGCAAGTGAATTTCATAACCTAAACTTGGACGTTGAGTGATTCGACAATTTCAACCTTCAATTTAAAGTAAAGTGAAAATCGTGTGTAATTTTAATGTCCATATCACCTTAGGGTTTAGATTCACATATTTAAATAAGTCGGGGATGCATGATCTCACTTTTAAAGATTGGGATCCAAAAACACACTAATTAAAAAGTTAGGATCCCAACCATAATTTTCCCTCAATCAACTCTCCCAATCTTGCTTGTACGTGTGTACAAGTTTTGACAGAATCTATATATACAGTCCTACCTTTCCAACCTTGTTATTACTGTAGAGAGAGAGAGATGGCAAGGGACAGCTGTATGGCGCGAGTGACGGCGGGGGTTGCAGTCGGTGGCGCCGTCGGCGGCGCTGTTGGTAACTGTCTTAAACCCTAATTGAAATAGTTTCCTTGTTTTTCCTTTCATTTCATCTATTATAAATCCATTCGAAAATATTCTCAGACAATTGTTTAATTATCTAACTTGTGATCCAAAAGAAGCTTTCTGAATGTATATTTATGCTTTGAATTTGCAACTAGTATACTGATAGTGCAAGGACGAGGTACAAATTTGAAGCGGAAAGTACAACATTTGCTCCAGATATTGTACCCTGTTCTGGCATTGTTGGTAGCGTCTAGAAAAATGACATTTTGACAGTAATTTGAGTATAATACTGGTAAGATATTTAATGATGTATTTGGTAGGAAGGATTGAATGGCACTCCATTGGATTGGAAAAATAAAAGAAGCTAAAATCTTGTTTCCTATGCCGTAAGGTTCTATTCGATCAGAAAGTTTCATACACAATTGTCTAATTGAAACTGAAAAGGATCTTGCTGATTGTATTTTCATGCTTTGATTTAGCAACTAGGATACTTATAGTGCAAGGACAGGTACAAGCTTTGAAGCAAAAAGTACAACATTTGGTACATAGAGATGTACCTTGATCTTGCATGTTTAAGAATCCGACTAAGGAGCAGTAAAATAATCATTTTGACTATAGTTTGGTGGGTTTATTGGTAAAATATTCATTTAAGTGAAATGATGTCATTATGTATTGCAATCAAATACAATACCTTCATTTTCCTTTTAATTAATAAAAAAATTATTAATTTTCATTTACAAGCAGTTTCGTGCTTGTTTTCAAGTCTCTTGGTCGTCGAAATCTCGGATATTGCTAGAATAAGTTTAAGATTATTGGCAGTTATTACTAGAGGGAGTCTATGTAATGCACGTGTTTATATGCAGGGGCTGTTTACGGAACTTATGAGGCTATTAGATACAAGGTAAAGTTTATAACTTTAGAAAGCTTTAAATTAAAGGTTAAGCTTTTTTATGGAGTTATCTTTTTGTCATTTTGAATTCTAACTATTAGTTGAAACATGAGTTTAAATTAGCATAAGCAACACAGCATACCATACTTGTAAAATATTAGAAATATGGAAGAAACTCCTACAATGATTTCTGACAGCAAACTGTTCGATACTTATTAAAGGATTATCTCAAAGATATACAAATTTTGGTTGTCACGTTCTTGCTTTGGTATTGACATGAATATGATCATCTTGTTCTTTTTGGTCATGAATATAACAATGAATGTGCACAAGCAATTAAGAATTTGAGTTTATCGTGCACTATGTTGCTCACAACTGGCTACTAGTGTTGGAGACGGGTATATATCTAGGACTTGGATCCTTTTTCTTCTAATATCTCGGACATTGGTGCCGGTGTTCAAATTTTGGATCATTTTAAGCTGTATCTTTTATTTCAGAAGAAAAATGATCTGACTCCTAGATATGTAATGTATTCGCACCCGAGTCCAAGCGACATAGCTAGTTTGACCACTCTCTTATTTTATGATATTGTCATAATTTTACCGGTGGTAATAAGGAACTAGCCATACTTGCAATTTAGCATAACTTTTCATCAGCTTGGAGTTGCATTTAGATGGATGTTTTTATAAGAATTAGAAAGAGTGTAACACCTAAGTGAGGGTATTCAAATATGTAAACACCCGAATTCCGCCAACTCAAGGTTGAACAAATCCGTTAGCTCTGTGAAAGAGGATATTTGAGTAATCCGTTAACCAGCAATCCTATTTAAATTATTTAGGTTAATTCATAAGTAACTTTATTTACTATCTTTAGTTTATCAGTTCTTTATTGGGCACGTCTTGTTTCATCCCTTCATCATCATTGTTGTCTATATCAAATATTTTTATACATTCATCATTTGACAATTGTTTCTCAAGATATCAAGGCTTGTGAGTGCATGTTAAATGTCTTTGTTGAAAAGAATAATAAAATCTGAAAAGTTGGACGTGTATCCTAATACAGCTCGAAATCTGGTTAGGAATTCTATTTGATTTTTTTGCCTTCTGAAAATTCAGGTTCCAGGTCTTCTAAAAATAAGGTATATTGGACAAACAACGCTGGGGAGCGCTGCTGTTTTCGGTCTTTTCTTGGGAGCTGGAAGCTTGATACACTGCGGGAAATCTTATTAGGTCTTTTCGTCTAAGTTCCTCAATATGTAAAATTTCTGCTGCTTTTGAGGAATAGATGACCTAAATGATATTCCCAAGAGTGTGATGCATATAATTGTTTGGGTGGAATCAGGATAGTTTCTGCAATAGTTGAACAAGTTCTTGTGAACATAACTTTGATTTCTTCCCCCTTTTGAGCTACAATATGACTGCAGTGTACTGGAATCTTTGAGTCGAAAATTGATTTTTGCGATATTTTGAGGTGGTTCTTGGTCGAGCTACTTACTTTAACACTTCAATAAACTAATTATGGTTTCGATGCAAAAGATATTCAAATTTGATGGACTATAGATCAAATTATTGATTTTTGCGATATTTTTATGGCATGGGATTTGGCAATTTTTATCTTATACTATTCAAGTCCTAAAATTCCAATAAGAAATATATTTTAAGATCTTATTATTAATTCTTTTTCTCACAGGAATGTCTTCTAAATCATCAAGAGCTTAACAGATCAATAAATTTTAAGTGTTAGAATTTAAAATTTTCAATTGCACAGTCTTAATTATTGCGGGACTTGAAGATAGGAGATTATTGAGAGGTTGCATGTGAAAAATGTGCTGCAATTCAGCTCATGTTTATAAACTATTTATAAATAATCAAATTACTTTTTATTTTTACACATTTTGCGGGATCTACAAGTATTATTCACCTATTCATAATTTATTTTTATTTATTGATAATTTAAACAGTTTGTAAGCACTTAAAAAATGTGCATAAATTGTGGAGTATCATTGTTTTTCAATTGTCAAGCATTTCATTTAAATGTCAAAGTTGCAGACTCAATGAAGCTTGTCTATGCATCATGCATATTCTGGTGAAGATGTCTTTTACAATATGTTTAGTTGTCTTAAAAGTTACTTTTTTTAAAAAAAAAAGTAAAACAAGACTGAGTTTCTGATTGTAATTATGGAGGTAGAGTCGATGCTTTTCCCATTCGTACTTTAATTCTATATCATCTCACTTAAATTTAGCTGATGTTTCAAAGCTCAAAAAGAAATTGGTAGGACATTCCGAAGGTAAGTTTTGTAAGTTAAATTAAAGAAGTAATTTAAAAATAAGTTTTTGACTTTTAAACATTGTATTTTCAGTTATGCTTAGTATTGCACATCAAACATGAACCGAGTGCTCAATTTCCATAGTTACACTGAAGCACTACCAACCTACTATAAAATGAGACATCAAATTTCAAACTCATTGTCGTATAATCAAGTAGGCATATTAGGTTTAGCATCTACAAGTTTGATGGAAATGAGTGATCAATTGAGTGTGATATTCAGAAACAAATAAACAAGAACAAACTTTCTAATCTAGACCAGTTAGAACATGAATTATGCTACCGGTAGCAAAACCGTTATAACATTACAAGTAATTCTGCATATAGATGGTTAGAGACATCAAGAAGATGATACGAATCAACATTTGACTGTTGCTATGAATGCAATCCTGCGATGTTGTTACGACTTGTTGGTGGATTGTATAGTACTAAATGCTTATTGAACCTTTGAGTTTTGAAATTAGCTCAGTCGACTTCAAAACCCATGTTTGCTTGATGTACCAAGTAACAAAAAATAGAGAAGATCCCTCATACATGACAATCATCTTCTTCCTTCAAAGTAAATTCAACGGACTCGTGCTCCCATGCAAAAGGAGAGACGGGAGAGACGGGTGGAGAATCCCAACGCGTAGGAGAACGTGGAGGAGACTTCCGCCACGACAAAGAGTTCAACCAATCTTCATTTAGTTCCTTTAGTTTTGCTAGGCTACTGAAATCGGGATCGATCTAACCACAAAAATAAGCAAAATGTCAAGTCAAGATTTGTCCATCCTCATTTTATATACAAAATATAGTTTGAAAAAGAATTGAATGCAAAATATTCACACCTTTGCTATTCTTGGCACTGGATCTGCAGAATCTGGACAAAGGAAACTCCATGAATTAGACATCATAAAATTATATTATTATACATCCATGATCAACATTTTCAGGTTTCCAATTACTATTTCCTCATAATACCTCTATTATACATGCCAGGAGAAACCTTTGAAAACAGATATCTAAGTAAATTTAAAAATGAGTTAAATACAATTATAGGTCAAGCTTTATGAAAATAGTTCTTTCTTGATCATGTCAGGTTAGTTTCGGCTTTAGAATTTAAAATGTCATTAACAAGAAATCACGGCATAGTAGAGTAGGTGGTATTGTAGTTCATGACACTAATATTTCCAAGTTTAAGTTCAGTGCCGACAAGGAATTCAAGCAATAGTTGGCCGAGCTTTTGAAAAGCTAAAAGTTACTTCTAAGACTAAGAAACTGCTTTTGAACATGTTCACATAATTTTCTGAAAGTTCTCTGGTTAGAAGAGCTTTTAGAGATAGCTGACCTAAGGTAGAGGAAGCTCTTATACAAGAAATAGAAATTGAGGAAGTTCTTATACAAGAAGTAGAATAAAAGCAAAAATCCTACCAAACGGGTCTTTAATATAAAGACTATATAGATTGAACTATGACACAATCAAACTTAAGAAAACAAAATGTTGAATTCAATCATAACTTTTAGTTTTTCATATTTGAACTATACTAGCTCATTTCAAGCATTCATACTAAAACATTGCCCAACCCTGGAACATAATGAAGTATATAAATGTGATGGCATCGAGTTCGCAAATTTGAAAAAACCCCTCTTCTGCTATATTTCCAGGAAGAACGATATCCCAAAATTGACGTTCCCAAGATGCTTTCTTAGCCTCAATGCACTTGTGATCGTGCAAAAACCCCTCTTCTGCTATATTAAGATTCTCGTTTACACACTCTGTCTTTGCGGATTCTTCTGCCTCAATAACATGATTGTGTAAAGATCCTCCCTCTAAAAAATATTCTGAAACCATTTGCTGGTTTTCATTGACTACATTAATATCAGGAAAGTCTATACTGAAATACTCTTCTGGGATCTTTTTATCCACCAAAAGATCAGAAGTTTTAGACGAATCAGACAAAGAATTTACACAGGGATCGAGAGGAGCATTTTGATTTGCACTCAAAGAAAGTGATAATTTGATAGTACCAGCTGGGGAGTGAAACAAATCAGTAGAAGACAGGCTAAAATCTTTAGTCACCTTTCCTTGTCCAATAACCGAAGAAATCGGCAATAAGGTGAATCCAAGAAGCCGATCATCCATGGAATTCTTAGCCCTGCTAAGCATCCAGATTTCGCATTTGAGAACAGCATCGATCTGGTTGATTTCCTTGATCAAAACCTCATTGAATTCAGGATTCTTCCCTCCACCGTTGACGATCCTTGTTGACAGAGTCTCGTCCGGATTATAGGTGAGATAGAATTTCGCAGAAACATCTTGGTTGTCATAGATACATATGTTATGAATGTTCCTAGCATGATGAACATGGATTTCAAGAATCCCTGAAAAATATGCATCCCTATCTGGATTTGCAGTTGGGTTGTAGATGAATCCAGGGACTTTATCAAAAGAACCCATGATCATAAATAAAAAGTCAGAAATTCTACTGGTTGATGATTCGGATTGAATATGAGAATCTTGACTCTATATGACAATGGAAAGAGATCCAATAAATCAAGAAGTAGAGGCAAACAAAATGAACGAAATCAATGTACTTGAGGTAAATAGATCTGAATCCATATTTTTACTTGAATTGGGCTTTAATGAGTTCTAATAAGCAACGTCACGCAGTTCTACTTTCTCCTCCCAATCTCGGGCCAAGAAATGCACTGCTAGAACGAGAAGCAGCTCTAGATTTAAAGTAGTCCCTCTAAAGACCAGTAAATACTATCATGTACACAACCTGTAAAGCCCCGAAATTTTTTATAAAATAGAATTAATTTTTTTCAATCCTATATTTTATATATTTTTTTAGTTGAAGGACTATAAATAAATAAGTTTTGAACTTTTATTTTTTGGGTCAAATAATTAAATTTTAATAGAGATAGAATTAGTATATTAATTGAATAGTTCGTAATTAATCATGCATATTAGGCTCGAGAAAAAGTTAATTCGGATAAGTGAGGCCCAAGTTATCGAAGTCGAAAGAAATTGTCTTAAACTGTTAATTAATGAGTTAGAATACAAGGGTGACACGTGTAGAGTAAGTTTATTGGTAAGTTATGAATTGGTTTTTATTAAATAAGGATTTTGTATTTTAAAAAAAAAAAGCCACGTGTGTAGGAATAATTGAGAAGGTGCCAATTAATTTTATTTTAATAATGTTTAATTGCCTTGATTTTGGGCCATTAGATGGGAAAGAAAGTGATTTGTAATTGTATGAATTATCGGATTGAGACCTTTTTGGAGGGAAAACACGGTATTTTTGTAGATTTTTAGGCCTATTTTCCCTTTTCAACTTTAAATACCATACAAAGTAACAATTATTTGCCTCAAAGAGAAAAGGAAAAGAGAAAACATACATACATATTAGTATATTACTGTGGCAACACGAGAAATTAAAGATTTTGGAACGTGAAATTCTTGCTTTTTCTTCCAACCATTCTTTTTATCAATCAAGGTAGGATAATGAGGTGCGGTTGATGTTATCCCGTTAATTTTTTTTTTTCATGTTGATGAATTATATTATACTTATGAAAGTTAAATATATGATATGATATGATCTGTATGATATGGTCATTCGGTATAAAAGATATGATGTATATTGAGCTCTTACCGGGTTCTAAAGATATAATGACGGTATAATTTTTTTGACACGTGATCAAATATTTTATTCGGGATTGCACCATGATTTTCGTCTCCTAATGAGTATTCTCTTGTACTCACCCATTTTTCCCCTACTCCTCATAGGTTAGAACACGTCGTTGATTGGCGGGCAATGAGGTATTCTTGTGGTGCCAGGATTTATGGAACTAAATAAATAATCCAGTGTAACGTGACTATGGATTTATTTATTTTTTCAGCATTATTTTGGTTTATTTATAACGTAGATCTTGTTATTTGGAATGTATTTTATTTGGATATGTTTCCTACATTTTTTTTTATTTATTATTGGTAGAACAAAATTTTTCACGTTAGGTTGTTGGACATGTTTATTTAATTATTATGTTTAGTAATGATTTAAACTTTTAAATTTTAAGACATGCATGTTTTTCCTCGTTAAATTCATAATATGTATTATGATAGTATAGATATAACATGTTAGACTTAGTACTGGTATGTGATGGGTGAATGAATATTAATTTTAGGATATGGCACCACCTACCCACATGAATTTGATGCGTGGTTTGTTGCGAGTGATACAAAAGTTGAACAGACAGGATCAAGTGCCTCCACCACAAAATGTGCCACCACCGCAAGATGCATCTCCGTTCGTACCTGGAGTCGTTTAAGTGGTTGAGCAGTTTCTTAGGTACAAGCCTCCTATTTTCGACGGTGGTTCCGACCCACTGGCTGTTGATGAATGGATTAGAGGTTCGAAGAGCATTTTTTGACACATTGCTTGTACAGAATGGTACAAAAAGAACTTTAAGAATTGAAGTTACAGTTAGAGGAGTTGTTGGAAAAAGGTTCCATTCAATTGAGTGTATCTCCTTGGGGCGCTCCAGTAATTTTTGTGAAAAAAAAAGGGAGTATGAGGATCTGCATTAACTATCAAAAGTTGAACCATTTGACTATCGAAAATAGATACCCGCTTTCAAGAATAGAAGAGTTATTCAACCAGTTAAGGGGTGCAACGGTGTTTTCAAAGATTGACTTGAGGTCGGGGTATCATCAGCTGAAGGTTAAGGCAAGCGATATACCAAAAACTGCTTTCAGAACTCGTTACGGATATTATGAATTCACTGTAACGCCCTTTGGTTTGACCAATGCTCCAGCTATATTTATGGATCTAATGAATGGGGTGTTCCATCAATACTTAGACCAGTTCGTCATAGTACTTATTGACGACATACTTGTGTGCTCTAAAGATAAGAAGTAGCATAAGGAACAATCCGAGTAGTACTCGAAACTTTGAGGAAAGAAAAATTATATGCCAAATTATAGTTGCGGGTGCCTTAAGTAGGAAGATATGATCACAGTTAGCAATTTTACCCACTGTACACGAACACTTGTTAAAGGAATTTGAGAAACTGAGATTGAAAGTTATCACGCCGCCAATTCAGGCTACAACGAGAATAAAAGCATTTGTGATTCAACCTACTCTTTGGGATCGAATTAAGGAAGCACAGGATGATAAAGATCCATTCCTATAGAAAATTAAGGCTAATGTTGGTTTAAACAAACGTATAGGGTTTGAAGTATCTACAGATAACGCGTTGACTTTTAAAGGAAGATTGTGTATACCTAAAGATGAAAGTATAAGAAACGAGATATTGGAATATGTTCATTCCACCCT